AAGATGGAGGCGATACGTTCCTCAGAAACGTCGGCTAACACCACATATACACGGTGCCAAATCCCAGAAGACTGCTTTCTTCAATCTTCTTCCTAATTCCATCCCACCTTCTACTCTAGACATTAGAAGGCAAAGATCTTATACTAGAAAGGGATTTCTGTAAGTCACGTGCATGATTCCTGATTCCTCCCTTTCCGCCAGAGAGCCTACTGCAGTTAAGTAAAAAGGCTTGGTACGCGAAATCCACTGAAGCAAATGTACTAAGCTCTTTCTTTTTTTTTTCGCTGAATTTAACATTGCGGTAGAGTAACGCTGATTAATGTAGGTTGTATAAAGGGAGAAGGCAGTAAATATTTTCAGAGCTTTCATCGTATTTTCTTACTTTTTCCCCTGTCTATGTAAGAGAAACGATTCTTGCTGTTTTAAAATTAACCAGGGTATAAAAAGAAAGGCGATGCCGCCAACAAGACATCAAACGACAGTTTTAACAAGATTGTAAGGCGAGAAACTTATTAAAAGACGAGTTCAATTTATGTTCACTATTCACTTGTTTGTAGGTGAAGCAGAAAAAGACTTAAATTACCTGTTACTGTTCTCGATGAAACCATCCAATTAGCTCCATCAGTGGAGACGCCTTTAGTTGAACAGGAATTTTAGCACCAGTCTTGAATGAGAACAGTTCAAAATCGGTTTTTATTTTATTATGCTGTTACTAGCTCAGACTAAATAGTACGGAATACGTCGGACGATTAATGAATAATGAATAATAAATTATATGAAAGGAAACGATCGTGGCATAATTTGTGGTGCTCTTCCGACATTTGCCCTGGAAAGTCTGAGGAAAACTATAAAAAGCTTAGTCAGGTCAGCTATTATCCGAGCTTAGATTTGAACCCGGGACTTGTCTGGTACGAAAAAGGAGTGTTCGATTTCGACGTTCAGTAACAACAGTCCAAACGCGTCTCCGAACTTAAGAGTATTTCAAACGCTTACGTATGTGAAGGAATCAACGTATGTTAACATTTTAATAATATCATAATACAAATATATGACTGTTTCATTTGATGATACAAATTCTTAAGATTGGTACATGTACAGGAAAGAATACATTTGTATGTCTCCTATTTGTGGCATGACCAGTTATAGGCTGGAGAACCTGAAAATAGTTTAAAGTGACATGTTTGTTACATAAAATTACAATGGATTGTTCTGTTAATGTCTGGATACTACGAAAGTAGTTTTGATATTGCCTACTTTTAGGCGTGTATCCAGAGCTTTAAATATGAAGGACTATTATAAGAAGGAGCTTGGGGATAACAAGACACTCTTCCTAGGTTCACACTTTCAGATCCCATTAGGACAGAAAGCAGATAATCCAAGTGTCAGACATACATGTTTACATAGCCTGCATATTTAAGCGTATAAATACAAATTTCACATTAATAGGATCAAGGAAATTCGCATTCTTAATTAATATTTTAGGCTTAGAGGAGAATATGACTGAAGCAAGAGTAGCCTCGTCTTCTAGCCTTCATAGTGGCAGCGTTCGTAAAGAAATCAAAGGTAATTGTTTCGGTAATTAAGGATGATAATTTAACTATGTCGCGAATAAAATAACACGTCTTCTTTAATTCGTAGAATAATCTATGAAGCTTAATAAATTAATCTCCAAAACATCAGTTAAATTTAACCTGCTATTTCCTATTTTTATGAAGTAGCAGCTCGTGTCAAGCTGCTTCTTGGGCTACGCTGACCCATAATTTCTTCGTGCATTTTGAGTGAAAGACCTAAACTTCATTTCCATATTTTTTTTCAAATTACACTAATTGTATTGCACACAGAGTTTCAACGTTCATCTATGTTTATTCTGCCACTCCTGTCTTAGTCCTGTGTTGTTGAATTTCACTCATTCAACATCTCCGTAGTTAACCACACCGTTAGGTGAAAACTTATGGTATACAAGCCTAAAATCTGATAAATATTTTGGCGGAAAGATATTTGTGCTTAATGATGGAATATTATGCCTCACGAAATAAAATTTACGTAAAATTTGTCTATAAAATTGACCTTCTCTTAGCATGAAACTGATCATTCTTCCATTCTTAAAAAGCAACAGATATCAAATTAATCCAATATACATTGATTAAATGTAATTACGGTGGTACTAAATTCGTAGACGAAATTTGGATTATAGTCAACAGGAGTAAAATATATTCTGACTCAAATATTTTCTAATTTACTGTTCAGATCTGTTTTAACCAAAATTCATCCAAACTGAATGAAAATTTGAATTGTGGTTATATTGCTGTCTCTATCCTAAGAAAAATTATTACATTATTCACTCCAGTTTAAAAGTGTGGCCATATTATTTTTGAAGTTTATTGGCAGAAGTTTTTGAAGCTGGATTGATTATAATTAATGCATGTGGAGGAGTCGATGAAATGAGAATTAGCAGGGGAAATTGAGGTACTCAGATAGAACCTTTCTTACTGCCACTTTTTCACCACAGATCCCACATGACCAATCCTGGATTCGACATCAGGCCAGCGGCGGTTGGCAGGGGTGTTTCTAAAGAATGATTCCATATTCCAGCCTGAACTCTATTGTACAACAAGTTCTACGGTTCGGATTCTGGGCTACGCGGACGGATGCGCTTGATCTCCCCTCGGTGGTTCTCAGGACTTACGCCTCTCTTAACAAAGAGCGCAGAATCCTTATTCAGACTTTAGAGACTCTATTTCTCTGCAGAAGTTTCCTTCCGAGATAGAATACCTGTCAACCACAATACATCAAGCCAACTGAAACCTCTCCGATCATATCTTGTAATGTTTTGGATAGACGTACTCTGTATAGATGAAACTGAACCAATGTGCACAAATGTGCATTTAAAATTAAATTGTCTTTACCTTCTTTATTTCCGACACTGTATCAGGAGCTAGAATTATGCGATACTGTTGAGTAACTGAAATTAAGGACCGGTTGAGATGTGTGACAAAAAAGAAATGGCCGATTTTAAGGCACTTTTCCCGGAATGTCACGAGACGGACTGAAGTGTACTGTAGAACAGTACGGATATTATATGGCAGTCCGTTATTCGAGTCTGGCTTCCCTCGAACGCGATAATTCATACGCTGCAACACGGTGTCAATCAGACCGCTCGATGGAGCAGGTTGTATGGACACTTCTCTGGAAAGGAAGGAATCCAATGTTCTCTTTTCGTATGATAGGCTTGTTTTTATTCGTAATAGTAAGGTCGAACATTGTTGGGCGGCGATGCAAGTTTCTAATCTGAGTCATAAATTTTATTTATATTATATCCCATAAGACCACTGGGAAGACCAAGGCGTAGGTGAGTAGACAATATTAAAATTGATCTTAGGGATATAGGATGGGATGGTATGGATTGGATTAATCTGGCCCAGGATAGGTACCAGTGGGGGGCTCTTGTGAACACGGTAATGAACTTTAGAGCTCCATAAAATGCTGGAAAATTCTTGAATAGCTGTAGATTTGGCTTCTCCTCAAGAAGGGTACAGCTCCATAATTAAGTAAGTAATATCCCATAACATGTTATGCTCCTTTGCCATCGTAGTTACAACCCGAAATTCAGAAACTCACCCAAAATTTTCTTATAACATTTTGTTCGTAATATGGCAGTTGAAGTGTGCAAGCCAAAGTAGGGGAGCCGGAATAGCTCAGTCGGCATAGCGAATAGTTACAGGCTGGACGAAGGAGGATTAAGGTTCGATTTCAGGCAGAGGTTAGAACATTCTCGCTTCTCTATAATGTCCACACAGCCCCTGAGGCCCGTCCAGCCTCTTATACAACGGGCACCAAGGGTTGCTTTCTAGGAGATACAGGGACAAGTGCGTGAAGATGGCCACTTAACTCTATCTAGTGTCAAGTTTAAGGTTAGTGGAGCTCTGCCCCCACTTCATAATTTTTCATGCGGTGGTGCTTAATTAAATATGCCAAGAGATAATTTACCTTTACTTTAAAATATTGTGGCGATTATGACTATTGCTAGACAGCGGTTCGGTAAAAACCGCCTGAAAGCCGGAACAGGGGAGACAGAGAAGAAGCCCATTGCTTGCCAACAGGTCGCTAGTACATGTTTCCGCTGCGATGGATATGTTGGTAGAAGTCAGAGCGTTGCCACAGGATTGACACACGTTTCCGGGGCAACGGATAACACAGAATGTCAACTAACTGTTCTAGGTGGTGGTCTCTATTCAGTTCTCCCTAAGTTATAAAAGGGAGGGCATGTGAGAACTCTCAGCAAAGTTAGAGAAGAGTTCGAGCTCCTTCATAGATGAGAAGTCATTCTTTATGCAGATCAGTCGGAAGGAATTCTTCGTTCGTAATTTGTCACAGTGGAAGAGAAGATACTCGCGGTACAGCAAGGAATGGACCAAGTCTGAGACAGTCATAAATTGTGAGCTGTTATAATATATTGTAATTTCAGTAGTAGTACCAATAAACCGAAGTCAAGGTGGATGAGATATAGAGAGAATGTAGCACGAATGGGGGAGAAGAGAAATTCATATACGATATTGGTGAGAGAGCCAGAAGGAAAGAGGCCATTGGGAAGACCAAGGCGTAGGTGGATGAACAATGTTAAAGTGGATCTTAGAGAGATAGAATGGGATGGTATAGATTGGATTCATCTGGCTCAGGCTAGGGACCAGTTGAGTGCTCTTGTGAACACTGTAATGGACCTTCGTGTTCCATGACATACTGGGAAATTCTTGAGTAGCTGCAGAATTGGTGGCTCCTCAAGAAGGGCTGAGCCCCATGAGTAAATAAGCAAGTAATTGCCAATAAATCCATTCACACAACTCAGAACTCATTATTATTCTACACGGAACCCCGGACACGTGAAAATATTAAAGTGTCAAGTTCAGTTACATTTTGCAGAATTTGCAGACAGAGAAGGGGAGAGCCGGTGGCCGCAGAATGCTATTTGTGTGTTCAAAAAACCGATTATGTTTCTGTTTCAGGTTAAAGGAAAGGATCCGGATCGTATTTGAAGAAGTGACCTTACAGAAAGGCGATTTAAGGTAAGAAGATTTCGTTCTTATATTGGAAGCTCAAAACAGATGCTGAGATCCTAATGCACAGTCGCCTCTCAACCTTAAGTACGTCGCCACGCGCTGTATCTAGCCTTACAAAGAGGACGCTTTCAGAATCTATCTCCAGAAGGAAATGACTGGAAACTGTATTTCATGCTGGGTATTGTCTGTGTTTCGCTCACGGGGTTTAAAATATGGAAGTAGAATAACCGAGGTAAATCTCCAACATAATTTGTTATCGACCAGTGAAGTAATCCGTCCCTCTTTCGAAGAAGCAGAATTGGAAAAACAAAATACAGGCTGAAGTATAGCGTCCCTGATAAAATGCTAAGAGAACACCTCCAAACACATAGAGCATACTTAAGATCTAGCGTGATATTGTACCCGTTTCTAGCAATTCTCTCTAATCACAGGCTACAAGAAGGATTCTCTCCTGAATACCTGTGAGGCACTTAATTGCTTAATGTGAACTGCTACACGCAGGTCACGGTAGCCGAGCGGTCTGAGGCATGCACTGTCTTCGCTCACTCGGAAGCCGGGATCGTGGGTTCGAATTACTCAGGGCATGGATGTTTGTGTGCGTTTTTCTGTGTTTGTCTATAGGTAGAGGCCTTGCGACGAGCTGATCACTCGCCCAAGGAGTCCTACCATATGTGTAAGATCTAGAAAAACCGAAGTGAACGGAGTTCATGAAGGTAGGCCTAGGCCCACTAGGGCTGTAGTGCTAAGGAAAAAAAAACTGCTGCACACTGCAAGTTGTGTAAGGAATTTCAGTTTTGCTATCACATTTTAATAACTGATCACCTAGCAAGTAAGTTGGAACAGTAAAATTTGGGGACCGTGTTTGCAAGATGACTGGTTCAGATCTCTTCCGCAACACCAAATATATTTTCTTGGTTTTCGTCAGTTCTCCTAGGCGGTGGAGGGGATAACACTGTAACCTCTCTTCCGTTTGACCCCTGCGTTTGGAACCGCTTGTAACTGATCTCTTAGTTACCCTTACGTTTGGCACCACTTGTCTGCATTTGGCCCGACTTTACGTCACTTATTCTTTACTTGTATCCCTTCCTTTCCCTGTGCTGCGGCTCACCCGCAACTCGTGTCTGGAATCCTCCACTGGAGTTACTGCACTCTTCCCTCTTCTCGTGGATGGTGAGAAGTTAGGTTGGAAGGGAGGAGAATTGTGGTTGTTGGTGCTGGTAGGCGAGAGTTCGTTTCCTGTACTACCATTAGGTGGCTCGCAAGTAGGGAAAGACGGGAGTAGCTGGGTTCTGCTCTGTAATGGGTGGAGATGTGTTATTATCCCGGGGTCTTACGAGCCTGGCTCCTGCAGGGCAGGAAGATCCTTACGCTACAATCACATACACCACTTCAGACTTTGCACTTAGTAATTATTTAATTAACTTAAGCTCACTGAACACAACGGAAAATCTAATAGTTACACTTATTGGGATTTAACTTGTAATACTTTTAGCGATATAACGTAGTTGTGTCTGACTTGGCCGAAAGTTGAATGAAGGCTGCCCGAGGTGGAATAATCTCTCTCCGAACCCTGAGGTCCTGGAATCACAGACTCCAAGAGAAATCCACTCCTCGAACATGTGCCATTGGTTTAGTTTGAAACTAGGAGGTTCCCTAAATTTGTGAATTTCCAATAGCTTTGCTCTGTGATTCTGGCAGATGCTGACCTGACGCTAAGGTTGACAGCGACTTGATGCATTAAGATCAGGGGATAAGGCTCCGGCCCTCCCGCTTCTAAGTTATAGCTGTTCCAAGCTGTCAGCTCTCAAATTCTCAAAGACTTCCCGACTTTGCTGAAACTGCCAGAATTCCAGGAAGTGTACCAGATGTTACTGCCTGTCCACATAGCAAAACTTGAAGTATGTCACTACTGAGTGTAAAAGTTGGCTATCTGCCGGATCTCTGTTTGTATTTACGTGATATTAACTTAATATAAATTCAATTAATGCAAAAGGGTCCACCAAATTATGATGAACGGTTACAATAACTTATACTCGTATTAAATACGAAAGCTTCCTTCTAGGTTCTTTCCATTTCATTATTCATTATTATCCAGTTATTCGACGCTCTGGGGCCTATAGTTTGATTTAATTAGGTTGTCGTTAAATGAATTATAAGTAAGGAACTGATGGACATTAGTCGCCCAAACCAGAAAGTTGTTTCTTCTAACGTAATTCAGGAGAGAATTGGTTTCCAATTTGTAGCAATATTAGAACAGTAAGGTAAAGGTAAAATTGTCCTTGTGCTTAACTGAGTAAGCAGTACACCATGAAGGGGTATGAAGAGTAGATATATAGATCCACATATTGTTTACCTCGGTACTACTTGGAGGTGAGTGGTCAGCTTCACGCCTGGGCCACTTTACTCCCAGTACCCACTGGATATGATCCGGTCTAGAAAACCGAAATTAACGGCTGTGAGGATCCGTTACACTGACCACGCGACACCCTCTATCCGCTAAAGTTGGCACTAATTTCGCCGACAAGCGACGGTCGCTCGGTCGATATAGTTCGCTTGCGGACTAAAACCAGGGAGTAGTAGTAGACCCACTGGATATGAGGCTGGGTGAATTCCGTAACTGGTCTGGACGACGTGAAGAGAAGAAAATAACGCCCTTACAGGGACCCAAATTCCGTCCTCTCGGCTGTCCATCTCGTAGCAATTTTTTATACCCACTGCGTTATCCCTGCTCAATAGAAAAATACATTAATTATAGTTTGCAATATAATATACTTTATTTTTAGTGCCCATTGTGTTTATTATAATATATTTAGGGTATTATAATAAATATATTATAATAAACACAATAAACAGAGAAAATGATGCTCGAGATGGTTCAAGTTCGTATAGCAATAGGCGTGACCAGAGTGGTTTGAACGGCTGTTGTACTGCGATGTGGAAAGCAAATGGAAAAACTACCACATTATCACTTTTCCTGGATAGTCTCTTTCCAAAAACAGAAGATCGCATTAAGTGGAGAAACTGTTTTGGAAGAAACTGTGGACCTGATATCTGCAGATTACTGATGAATGAATGAATTTAGGGTCATGTTTCATTGGGCGCTCTGGATCTATACATAGGAAAGGCACAAACAAATTTAATTTAATGTAGTAAACAAAATATCAGTTATGAGATGAAACTGTTTGTAGCGGACTATCTTTCTCTGGTTCTCACATGGAACACAGTTTTCTTCCTCTATTCTCTCAAACCATTTCCCTGGAAATCGCAGTTTCCCTTTCACGTGACGGAAAACGAAATCAGAAATTTCCGGTCCCATCATTCAATAGCTCTTGCTGCATTTCACGAGGCAGACCCCGAAGATTGTCAACTCTCAGAGGGAATCGAAAAAGGGAAATATTTTTTAAAAGGGAATTTACCCTTTCTATGATGACAAACAACAAAATGTCGTTAATAGAATTATAATTGGAAGGAACAAAGGCACACATTTCTTGCGAGAGCAATCTGGACACTTTAATAATGAAGCAGTTTATATGGTGATTCTAGTAAGATAAATTTTCTGTTAGTTTTAATTAATGGAGCATTACGCCATGAAGAAGTTTTGAGGGGTGGAGAGTAGCTCCAGACAGTGGACAGACTCGCACACCGTCCATTTTACCCTGGGTAAACAGGTCCAGGTACTCAGTGTACCGTAGGCTGGGTGTTTCCAGAGCAGGTATGGACGTTGTGGAGAAGAGAAAAATTTATTGCCCCTTCTGGGAATCGAACCTATACTCTTTGGCCGTCCAACCCTTACCCTAGTCGCAACAACGACTAAGCTATACCGACTCCGGTAGTTCTAGTAAGTTTCTTTATATATCATATATATCGTGGAATATAGACATATTGCTAGGCAACGACCGTTACTAGGCAGCGGCCCGTGAGCAACAGTGGAAGTGGTGTTTTCCATGTGGTCCTCTCCGAATTTATATCAAGCGACGACAGCGCTGAGATGAGTTGAATAGTGTTGTGTTGGTTGGTGAGTGATTTAATTAGAGGACCGCTGGGATTCAGACCGTGTGAGCTGTTGCTGTGAGTAGCTGCTAGTTGAGGCACGGGTCAGTTCGGAAACACAGAGTGAGGGGAACGTCCTCCGCTGAAGCCGTTATCCAGCAACGAATGGTGAAGACAGCAGACAGAAAAATCTTAGTGCGTGCAGTGGTGAATTGTAGAGTGTGTGTGCTATAGCTACTTGTAGTTACATTCTGTAAGAATTATATAAATCCTGTTATCAATTCAAACCTCGTCTATAATCTTGGTTGGATATTATCAGGCAGAGGACATATGAAATATATTTAAAAATATTACCTCTCAAACTGTTAGGTATCCATCAATAAAATCACATTCTCTATGCTTACCAGGATTTTCAGTAGGACTGAGAACATCGTTGACTTTATCGTAGAATGATCAAAAAAGTCGACAGAGAATTTATCTCATAACATGTATGAGATTAAGAACAAATAAAGCAGAGTTATCCTTCTAACAGGCCGTGGAGGTTCGTGGACTTGTGAGGCGTCGAGGCTCCCACATTTTCTAGACACTTGGGTCATAGATCTCGGTGCGGTGTTCAGCATTACGAGCTAACCTCTCTTTAACCCCAAAAAGATTCCTGGTACTCATTTTTGTTAGAGGCTAAGCCGGCCGAAAATTCATAATGCAACTGAAAGGAATTAGCAATTGAAAAATCCAATGACATCATCGGGATTCAAACTCACGACCTTCTGGCTTGTAGAATAGGGCCTCAACCAACTACGATCCCGCGTGCTCCAACATGTATGAGAATATGTAGATAAATTAAATTGTTTAATTGGTTTAGATTGTTTCAGTTTACATTGGTACACATACGTTTTGAGTGGTGATATAAATATTATCATTGCCCTCGTACACAGATCTGTGACTTGGTTATTGTCGGAATGCATGTCAAAGCCTTGATAGAAGCTGGCGTTTCTGTACAATTTCCGCTTTTGCCC